CTGACCCCACACGCCCGGTTCTTGCTGCGTCCTCCTGCCGCCCTCTCCTCCCCTGCCTCCCGGGCCCTGCCATCTCCAAAGCGGCGCACCACCTCTCCCCCTTCTGCCGGCCTCCCCCCTCGCCCTCCCTCCCGGCCTCCCTCGACATGGGTATCCACAACCTTGGCCTCTCGGCAGGCGGGCTCACCATCGCCAGCTCGGGCCCCGGCACTACTGGAACCAATCAAACCCTGTTGAATCCCCTGCAGCAGGGGTCGCCGATCATCCATGTGCCCTCCAGCACCGGCGCACTGGGCATCTCCCAGCAGGGCACCCTGCCCCACCCGGGCCACCTGGACATGTCCAGTCTCATGTACGGCAATGCCGGCGGCAATGTCACCGCCCTCGGCAATGGCCCTGGTCCTGGTGCCGGCCCCGGCGATGCCCAGGCCCTGATGGGTATGTCTTCCTTGAACATGGCCGGCGGCCTGCTTTCCACCGGGGCCGGCACCGGTCGGGCCTTGCTCCCGGCCGGATCCCAGCCCGGCGGCCATCTCCAGGTCCCCGACACCATGGGCGACTTCGCCTCCATGCAGACCCTCGGCAATGGCGGCGGCCTCCTCCTCCCGCCCTCCTTCATGCAGCAGGCCCAGCAGCAGCTCCAGCAGCAGCTCCAACAGCATTCCCAGCAGCAGGTGCAGCAGCAACAGGCACAGCAGGTGCAGCAGCAGCAGCAGCAGCAGCAGCAGCAGCAGCAGCAGCAGCAACAACACCAAGCTCAGCAGCAGCAGCAGCAGCAGCAGCAGCAGCAGCAACAGCACCACCACCACCAGCAGCAGCAGATCCAGCACCAGCCGCAGTCCTCGAACCAGCAATTCTCCCTCGCCAACCAGCTGAGCAACTCGCTCGGCGGTGTTCCCCCCCAGCAGCAGGGCCAAATCCTCGCCGGGGGCCACACCGGGTCGGAGCAGGCCGCCGGCGCCTCCTCCGGCGCTGGGGGTGTCCTCGTTGCCTCGGCCGGCCCGCTGGTGGACGCGGGCGGCACCTCCAGCAGCGGCTCGCTCCACTCCATCGACGACCTTCTGGCCGTCATCCGGTCTGAATATCTGCGCATGACCATGGAGCTGGCCAGCTCCATCACCGACCGGGAACTCCTGAGCAAGCTCTGTACGTCCTTGTCCCGCATCAGGCCCCCTTCCCCGGCTTGTTGGCCCCCCTTCCACTGACCTCGGTTGTCTCCCCAGTCCGCGATCACCTGTCCGAGTGCACGGGCAAGACGCAGCAGCTCCAGAACCAGCTCCAGGTGCAAACACAGCAAGTGGCCCGGTGCGTATCTGCCGCCCTCTGGCTGGGATTCCGTTTTGGTTGCCCGGGCCATTTGAGATCGCCTTCCCCCCTTGCGTGTACCATGTGCCCGACTACGCCATGGCCCCTTCCTCTGACCTTTGCATCTCCATTGGCGTCTAAAACACCGGCGTGTGTGTGTGTGTGTGTGTGTATGTGTGTGTGTGTGTGTGCCCGGACTTCTGGCTCGTCTTTCCCGCCTCCTTTCCAGGCTCCAGGAGCGTCTCCAGAGCGCGCAGTCCGAATTGGAGATGCTCCATTCGGCCATTTCCGCCGGTACGCCGAGCAGCGATGTGCCCTGCCTTTTTGCCCCCTTGGTGTGGGGACCTTCTCCTGACACGTCCCTGTCCCCCTCCCCGAGCAGCCGGGATCTCCCCCTCGTCGCTCTTCAACAATCCAATCGGCATGTCGCCCATGCACGGAGGCAATGGGTCCGGAAATGGTGGAGTCAAGTCGGTGGGGCTGTCAAGCTTTCCCTCCTCCCAAGGGAGTATGGGCCCGACCGGCGGCTCGACCAGCGCCGCCTCACCGGTCTTTCAGTCGTCCGCCTCTCCGTCGCCACTGCCGGCCCAGCAGCAGCAGCAGCAGCAGCAGCAACAGCAGCAGCAGGGCACCTCCGGCATGACAGCCAACAATGGTGCGATCCTCGGCAGCCCGGGCACTTCCAAGGACCCCTCTTGGCAGTTGCTCTCTTCGCTGGGCAACCTGTCGGAGATCTTGCCCAATTTGCCGGAGGAGCAGGTCCTCAAGCTCCAGATGCTGCAGCTTCAGCAGCAGCAAGCTCAACAGCAGCAGCAGCAGCAACAACAGCAACAGCAGCAGCAGCAGGCCATGCAGCAGCAACAGCAGCAGCAGGCCATGCAGCTTCAGCTCCAGCAGCAGCAGCAGCAGCAGCAGGCTCAGCAACAGGCCATGCAGCAACTCCAGCAGCAGCTCCAGCAGCAGCTCCAACAGCAAGCTCAGCAGCAGCAGCAGCAGCAGGCCATGCAACAGCAGCAGCAGCAGCAGCAACAGCAGCAGCATACCCAGCAGCGTCCTCAGGCGCCTGGCATGCAGGTGGCTGGTGGCGCGGGCCCGGAGGACGGCGGTGCCGGTGAGTCCGCCAAGAGCAAGCGCCAGCGCACCTCCGAGCCGGTTATCAAGTCCGAGGCTGCGCACTCTGCCGCCGGCTCCGGCACCCCTGCCCCTCAGCGGTCGGGATCGCTGGATCTGACGCCGAACCCGAAGAAGTGCGTGTGTATTGGCCTGGGCGGGCCCGAGCCTGCTCCTCTCTCCCCCCCCCTCTCTCTCCCTCCCTCGCACGCACGCACGCGTTGGCCCATTTGCCTGACTCCCCTCCCCTCGGGTCCCCTTCCTGCTCCTCTTTGTCACGCATGCACAGACGGCCCCATACCATGCTGCCGATCTCCACCCGGGGTGGCAGTTCACAGCCGAGTGTCTCCTCGCCCACCCCCTCCCCCTCGCCCGGGGATATTCTCTACAAGACGACCCTCGCGCACATCATGGAGCACGCGTCGGTGGTGTGCTGCGTCAAGTTCAGCCCCTGCGCGCGTTGGCTGGCCACCGGGTGCAACCACTCGGCCCAGCTGTATGACTCGGCCACCGGGCAGCTGAAGTGCCGGTTCATCATCGATTCGCCCAGTGCTGGCGGGACGCCCGGCCATCACGCCGACAGCGGGGACAGCTCGCGCCAGGATCTCTATGTTCGCAGTGTCTGCTTCAGCCCGGATGGTCGGCTGCTGGCCACCGGGTCCGAGGACAACCTGATTCGCATTTGGGACATCGCCACGCAGAAGGTCCTCCATGAGTTTGCCGGGCACACGGAGGACATCTACTCGCTGTGCTTCAACCCGGATGGCACTCTCCTCTGCTCGGGCAGCGGGGACAAGACCGTCCGGATTTGGGACATGCGCACGCGCAAGGCCAAGTTCATCCTGAACCCGGTGAACCCGTCGAAGGATGCCGACATGGCCTCAGTGGCGGTCAGTCCCAATGGCGCATGGGTGGCCTCGGTGCGTGTGCTCTCCTTCCGCCTTTTGCTGGCCGGCTTTTCATGTGCCCTTTCCTCCGCCCGCATCCTGCCCCCCCCCCCCCCCCCTGCTCTCGCGCCCTCCTCACACCTAGCTTCTCCCCTCGCCCCCTCCCCCTCGGTCTTGCACTCGCCTTCCACAGGGCTCTCTCGACCACCAGGTGCGCATCTGGTGCCTGGCCACTGGGCAGCTGCTGCAGACGCTGGCCGGCCACGGGGACTCCGTCTATTCGGTGGCCTTCTCGCCGGACTGCCGCACCCTGGTCAGTGGCTCGCTGGACAAGACCCTCCGTCTGTGGCCGTTGGCCTTGCCCGAGGTTGCCCCGAGTGGCGGGGTGACTCCCGGCCCCAGCCCCGAGCCGAAGATCATGAGCGGCCACAAGGACTACGTCCTCTCGGTGGCTTTCTCCCCCTGCGGGCGGCTGATCCTCTCCGGATCCAAGGACCGGACCGTGCAGTTCTGGGACGTCGGCACCACCAAGCCGGTTGGCGCGCCACTCAATGTCCACAAGAACTCGGTCATCAGCGTGGACATTACGGCTCGCCGGTCGGCCGGTGCCGCCAGCACCGGGGCCGCCGGCATTCTGGACGACATCATCTTCGCCTCCGGCAGCGGGGACGCGCGGGCCCGCATCTGGCAGCTCCAGGCTCGTCTGCCGGCGCCTTTGCCGCTGACCACCTCTGCCCCGGCCTCTTCGGTTCCGGCGGCGGCGGTGGCCGCGCCTTCCGCCGCTGGGGCGGCACCTGCCCCGGCGTCGGTCCTGGCCGGCATCGCGTCCCTCAGTGCCGACCAGGCCGCCTCGTTGACTGCCTCGCTCCAGTCCCTACTCGGCCTGCCCGCCGGCGGGGAGATCTCCATCGCCGACACGCAGCTCCTGCTGGCGCAGCTGGATTCCGAGGGGTTCCAGCAGCTGATCGCGAAGCATGCCTCGAATGTGTCAGCCCAGCAGCAGCAGCAGCAGCAGCAGCAGCAGCAGCAGCAGCAGCAGCAGCAACGCAAGCTGGCGGCTACACCGGCGACCCTTTCCTTGCCAGCAGCCCAGCTGTCTGGCCGGTCGTCGTCCTCGTCGTCCTCGTCGTCCTCCTCCTCCTCCTCCTCCTCCTCCTCCTCCTCCTCATCCTCATCCTCATCCTCCTCGTCCTCCTCGTCCTCCTCCTCTTCTGCGCCAGCCGGGAGCAGTCGACCCTCAGCTACGCCGGCTCGCCGGCCCTCTGGCGCTGCCTCCTCGGGGCCGGACATCTCGGTACTGATTGCTGCCTGCTCGTCGCAAGCGGCCGCCCTCAGCCCGGTGACTGCCAACCAGTCGGCAGCTTCCACCCCGGCCGTTGCTGCGTCTCCTGTCGGCGATGTGGAGATGGCCTCGACCGAGGCCACCAGCCCGACCGCAAGTGTCGCTGCCGTCACGGCGCCCGTCGCCGCCACTGCCGCTACTTCCACCTCCACCAGTGCGACGTGTGCTCTTCCGATCCCCCCGGCCGTTGCTGCGTCTCCTGTCGGCGATGTGGAGATGGCCTCGACCGAGGCCACCAGCCCGACCGCAAGTGTCGCTGCCGTCACGGCGCCCGTCGCCGCCACTGCCGCTACTTCCACCTCCACCAGTGCCACGCCCACCTTGCTCATGATGAGTCAGCTTCTGCCGGCGACAGGCCCTGCCTCGCCAGGGACCGCGGCGTCGCCGCGCTCTACCTCCTCCCTCTCGCCGGCCCCGCCTGCACCAGGCAAGGCCCTCCCCACGGAGGCAGGCGCCGCAACCCCCGGGGGGCTGGCGCTCGCCATGGCTGGCGCCCGCCCGACCGTCGCCGCTCCTTCAAAATCCTCCTCGCCAGGGGCTGGGGCCTCCGCCACTCCGATGCCGGATGGCCTCCCAGCCCGCGTGTCCCCGGCTCCAGCGCCGCCAACCGCGGTCCCTGCCCAGGCCTCCCCCCCCTCATCGCAAGTGGCCGCCAGCAATGCCACCGCGGCTGCTGAGCCCTCGGTCTCCGCGGCCGAGGAGCTTGCTGTGGCGGCACTCCTCGGTGCTCCGCCCTCTTCGGCGGCTGCTCTGGCGGCCGTCGCTGCTACGGCACTCTCCTCCTCCTCTTCCTCTTCCCTCTCTTCGTCTGCCTCGCCCTCAGATCGGAAGAGCACACGTCCCAGCAATGCCACCGCGGCTGCTGAGCCCTCGGTCTCCGCGGCCGAGGAGCTTGCTGTGGCGGCACTCCTCGGTGCTCCGCCCTCTTCGGCGGCTGCTCTGGCGGCCGTCGCTGCTACGGCACTCTCCTCCTCCTCTTCCTCTTCCCTCTCTTCGTCTGCCTCGCCCTCGGCCCCGGTGTCGCCGACTGTGCCCGATATGCCGCCCGGAGCTGCTGCCGGGTCGTCCTCCTCCTCTTCCTCCGAGGCCGACACCGCGGTGGCCAGTAGCCCGGAGGCGGCCCTCGCACCGGCTCCCGCATCCGAGCCCGCCACTTCGACGGCCTCCGAACCCGCGCGGCCATCCGTCAGCCCGACTGCCGCTGCCGTCCTTCCGTCATCTTCTTCCTCGTCCTTGTCTCCCCCGGCGGGGGCCTCGGCCCCGGCCGTCAGCCCCGGCGACGCCGCGCCCGCCCCCGCGGACGCCACCATCCTCGCCACCAGCCACACACAACACCCCCCTCCTGTGGCGGTGACCGAGGCCGAGGTGTCGAAGGCCGCCGCCGCCCTTTCCCCCCCGGCGGCCGCCACCGCCGCCGCCACGGCCGAGCCTCCGGCCGGAGGACCAGCAAAGAAGGAGACATCCGCCTAAGTCTCGAATAAACACGTGACCCGCCGTTTCCCGATCATTTTAAATTTGCCCACCGCCCCGCGCCGTGTTTTTTTCCTTTTTTTTCGCGCGGTGTAGCGTGCGCGGGCGCATGGCAGGCGTCCATCTGGGGCTGTGGCAGGATGCGGGGGAGGTGGCGATGGGCCCGGCGTCCCGTGTACGAGTGTTTCTTTTCCGCACCGGCCGGGGGTGTCATATCTCGCCCGCTTTTTCCTCCTCTCCCCCCGGTTGGGGCCTGCATCCTCTTCTGGCTGGGTGTGGAGTTTCCGCCCCCCGCCTCGCCCCCGCGCGTGATGGTTCATGCCGAGGGGGTGCGATGGCGATCGATCCGCCCAGCCGGGCCACATCTCCTCCTGACCTTCCCCCCCCCCCCTCTCTCTCTCTCACTTGCTCTCACTTGCTCTCCTGGCCTCTGGCGCTTCTCCCTGCCCTCTTGCCTCCAACCTGCTCCCTTCTCGAGGGACATTGCCCGCTCGCCCGCCCGCCCGCCTGCCTGCTCGGTGTGTTCCGCTGGCATTCGCGAAGCATGTTCGATTCGGCCTTCGCCCCGACCCACCTGGTCGAGCAGTTTCCCGGGCGCTTCCTCGAAATCAATGAGCTCTGGTCCATTCTCGAGGTATGGTTCCCCTGGACGTCGCCCACTTGCTCCGGCCTGCCCTGCCTGACCCTGGATCTGCCCCACAGACCGGCGCACAGCCCTTTGTTTATGTCACCGGGCCGCCGGCCGCCGGCAAGTCGGCCGTGGTCCGAGCCACGCTCGAAGCCCTGGGCCGGCCCTTTGCCTGGGTAACCGGCGGTGAGGCAACCGCCTCCTCCACCGGGGCCATGTCCGCCATGGGGGCCGCATCGACTTCGGCCCTGGCTACCACCCTCCCGGCGGGCTTCCGATCGATGCTGGAAAACCTGCTCGATCAGCTTGCCGGGTGCCAGACTGCCTCGAAGGCCACCTCTGGCGACTGGGCCTCGGTGCTGGCCGCGAGCCTGGATGTGCCGTCCAGGCGCGTGGGCTCGCCGTCGGACTTTGTTTCGCAGGTCCGGGAACTGGTGTGGGAGTTGGGCCAGGCCGCCGGGCCGGCCCCGGCTCCGCCCGGGGCCCAGGCCCCCGAAGCCGAATGGGCCCGGTGGGATGTGGCCGTCGCGCGGCATGCGCGTCGCGCCGCCGTGGTGCTGGTCATCGACGAGGCGGATCGCCTCCGCGGCCTACCGCCGTATGCTCTGGCCATGCTCTCGGGCCTGGCGGAATTGGTGCGTTCTCTCCGTCCCCCCTTTCACACGCACGCACGCACGCACGCACGCACGCACGCACGCACATGGCGACACGGCTTTCTCCCGGGGTTTTGTATTTCTCCTCGGCGCCAACACATGTGCTTGAACCCCCTCGCCAGTATGCTGACCCGTCTGCTCCCTCTCCAGACCGGAGTCGCAGTGACCACCGTCATGATCAGCCGCCTGCCCGTGGAGGTTGTCCGTCCGCGCGGGCCCTTCCTCGAGCCGTATCTGATGCACTTCCCCCAGTACTCTGAGGGTATGCCCCCCCCCCCCCCCCCCCCCCCGGAGCCACAGAAATGCACAACTGCGCGCATGGGCGTGCGTGCGTGCGTGCAGGATGGCGACGGGGAGATCCCCCGTGCCTCTTGCCGTTGCTGCGGCTGCCATTCCCCTTTGACCTGCCTTTTTCCTCCCCGTCTCCTGGCTTTTGTGCCTTTCTTTCTCTCTCCCTCTCCTTATCTCTCCCTCTCTCACACACACACACACACACACGCACGCACGCTCTTTCTCCCCACCTGTCCGGCAAGACGACACCATTCGCATCCTGGTGCACAACTACCGGGCCTCGGCACCAGCCGCCATGCCGGTCCTCCCCTCGGGCGAGGCACTGACCCGATCAGCCGACGCCGGCATGCATGAGGCATTCTGCCGACTGCTGTACCAGGTGTTCCATGGCGCCTGTCGGGACCTGCGCGATCTGACCCACGTGGCCGAGTCGCTGTACGGCGCATACCGGGGACCGGTGGTGGCGGGCTTGGCGGCTCCCGGGGATTCGTACAAACTCTACCGGCACATTTCCCCCTACTTCCAGGTGGTGCTGGACCGGCTCTACCTGCGGACGATCTCCTCGCGCGAGTGGATTCGCATCCGGCGGGACAGTCACCGGCGCGCCGTCGGGGCCGATGCCCCCGGCGCCGAGTGTGGCCCGGGCCCCGGCAAGCGGGCTCGGCACGTGGGCCCCCCAGGGTCGCAGGTGATCCCGGGCGATCTCTTTGTCCCGGGCACCCTCCCGGGCGGGGTGGCCAACGAGCTGGAGCTGCAGGCGGCCCTGAATGCCGCGGCGGCGGCCGGCATCGGGACCGCTTCGCGCTCGGGGCTGGATTTCGAGCTACCCATGCACGGGAAGTTCCTCCTCGTGTCGGCCTTCCTGGCGTCACATAATCCGGCCCGGGCGGACTCGCAGATGTTCGCCCGGGCCGGCTCTGCCGAGGGCGGTCGGCGCCGACGTGCCGGCGGTGGCGGGGCCTTCGGCAACTCGCCCCTCAAGGCGGCGGCCATCCGCGGTGCAGCGGCCACCGTGCCCCAGCGCCTGCTCGGGCCCCGTCCCTTCCGCCTGGAGCGCCTGATCGCCATTTTCCGCATGCTGCTCCAGTCGTCCGGCGATGAGCTGCTCCTGAGCGGGGCCGAGCGCGAGGTCCTGGCCTCGGCGGACCTGGCCCAATTGATCCGCACACTGACCAGCCTACGGCTACTTGTGCGTGGGTCGCTGGCTGGCGCGGTGGCCGGGCTGGATGCCAGTGGCCAGGCGGCTGGGGCCAGCGAACGGCGCATCCCCCTCGAGGGGGCCACGTACCGGTGTGCGGTGGGCTACGACGCGGTGGCCCCGCTGGCTCGGTCACTCGGCATCCACCTGGAGAGTGTCCTGTTCCGGTACAACTAACTGGCGCGAGGGCCATCGCTGTGTCGGCATGAAGTGATAAACCGGTGCCCCCCCCCCGCCCCCCCCCCCCCTTCTCTTCACCCTGTTCCTGTCAGTTAGCCTGGGGATTTCGCTCGCTGTAGCTACCTCTTTCGCTCACGGGCCCATCGGAGGAGGAGGGGCGTCGTTTCGTGAGCATCTACATGTGTATGTGTGCGCGTGCGCGCACGCATGAGTCTGTTTATTTCCGAGCTGGCACACGAGGCGGGTCCTTGCCCATGCCGGAAGGAGGGCAGAGATGCACGTGCCATGTCCCCTGATGGTAACAGAAAAGGGCGGTCCGCAGGGGGGGGGGGGACAGGGAGGGAGGGGAGGGGGGGGGGGGGCTTACTTGGCGACCGGGGCGGCCAGGCGCTCCTTGAGGTTCTTGTTCCAGTCGTTGAGGGCCTTGTTGAAGTCCTCCATCAGGTGGGGGATGAAGGGGAAGAGGAGGGAGATGAAGTTGCCGTCAATGATCTTGGTCAGCATCTTCAGGCCGATGGAAGTGAGGCCCTGGTCGATGACAACCACGCGGCCGGCGTTCTTGAACAGGCAGTCAGCCACCTCGGACGGCTCGACGGCAATGCGCTGGGCGAAGGACAGCATCTGCACGCCCTGGGCGTTGTCGTAGAAGCGAGTCCGAGTGGGAGAAGGGTGGATGGCCAGGACATCGACGCCGATGGCACGGGCCTGTGTGCGGGCGGGTGGGTGTGCGCGTGCGCGTGCGATTGGGCGAGCAAACGGCCGGACAGGGACCGGAGGCGGAGGCGGAGGGCAGAGGGGGGTGAGCATCAGACCGAGGAGGAGGCACGGCGGGGCCGAGCCAAAACCGGCCCTGCCCCTCTTGCGAGAGTGCGGGCATATGTGTGTATGTGCGTGCGTGCGTGCGTGCGTGCGTGTGTGCGCGTGTGTGTGTGTGTGTGTGTGTGTGCGTGAAAGGAGGTGGCGCGGGAGGGGGCGCACCCCCCCCCCCACTCCCTACACACACGGCTTGTACGCACCTCAGGGGCCAGGGACGCGGCAAAGGAGGTCAGGAAAGCCTTGGTGCAGCCGTAGAGGGTCATGGTCGGGGTGGGCAGGAACATGCCCGAGGAGGAGGTGAAGGTGATGAGGCCCTTGAGGTTCTTCTCGCCCATGAGGCGCAGGAAGTGGTGGGTGAGCAGGACGGCCGCGGTGACATTGCAGTGGTAGTTGTTCATCTGGCGCTCGAGCGACACATCGAAGAAGAGCCCGGGGGTGACATAGCCGGCGTTGTTGAAGAGAAGCGAGATGTCAATGTCCTTGGTGGCCTCGATCACCTCGGGCAGGAAGCCGGGCTGGCCGAGGTTCACACCGACCGAGCGGAACTCCACCTGGGGGAACTTGGTGCGCAGCTCCTGGGTGGTGTCCTTGAGGAGCTGGTCATCGAGGGAAACCTGTGTGGCGGGTGGGAATCGGCGAGTCAGCGGTAGAAGGCAAGCGAGGGTGCATGCAGCCAGGTGCAGAGGGACCGAGAAAGGGAGGGCCTCGGGGGGGGGGGGGGGGGGGGGGGGGGCACGAGCGGCCGGCCGGGCGCGAGAGAGGGGCCGCGAACGCACAATAACGACGTTGATCTTCTGCTGGGCAAGCTTCTCGGCGATGGCCTTGCCCATGCCGGACGAGCCGCCGGTAACCAGGGCTGGGCAGGGGGCGGGGGGGGGGGCGGGGGGCAGGAGGTCAGGGCCCGGAAAGGGGGGGGGAATCAAGAGAGAAAGCCCGAGCGAAGGACGCACCCCACTTGGCGTTGTACTTGGTCTTGAGGTTCTGCTCCTTGGCAATGACCTCGTGGATCAGGGTGTTGATCAGGTAGGTGACGAACGAAATGATCGCACACCACATGAAGATGGAGCCAATCCAGGCGAACATGGTGGCTGTGGGGAGGGAGGAGGCGGCGAGCGCGGCAGGAAAGCGGAAGCAGCGGGGGGGGGGGGGGGGGCAGAGGGCAGCACAGTCTCGTCGTTGGAGGAGGGAGAGCTGGCCCGCCGACACTCACGGCCGCACTGTGGCCCAAATACCCGGCTGTTGCCGTTCCCCGGCGGGGCGGGGGCCGACGTAACAGGCTGGCCGCCCTCCCCCCCACCCACCCCCCGCCCCGCGATTGCACCCGGCCAGTCGGGCCCCAACATGGCGCGCGGCCGCCACCGGGAGAGAGAGAGAGAGAGAGAGGGGGGGGGAGAGAGAGACCCAGGCCGGGGCCCCGCGGTCGTCCGCACGGGAAAACATGGGCTGATCTCATTCCCGGGTATGATGTGACTGTTGACCGAGGTCCCACAGCCGCTTGAGAGGCCCTCCCTCCCCCGCCCCTGCCCGCGGGCATGTGCGCCGCGAGGGGTCCCCGCGCGCTGGCGAACCTCCAAGGCCGAGCCCCCCGGCCCCGCTCCCTGCCTGTATTCACGCATAGCCCCCCGCCGCCTGCTGGAGAGGAGGAAGTCCTTTCACATGCGGGGCCACCGGGGGGGGGGGGGGGAGCACGCGTGCGAGGCACGCCCCCGGCCGCCCTGCTCTTTCGGTGCCGCCCATTCCACACGCGATTCCCAGAACCGGCGATCCCGTGGGGACCATATCACCGGACGAGAGATAGAGATCCCAGATGCTCCATTCGGCGCATCTTGCTCGGCGCCAACACACCCCTCCCCCCTGGATGTGGATGCACGGCCGCCGGCTGCCCGGCCCGGCTCGCCGCACACACGCCCCGCCCAGCACACACAGTGCAGACCCCTCCCCCCCCCCATACACACACACACACACACACACGCGCGCGCGCCTGCACTCGAGGCGTTCGGGCTCTCCCCTCCTGGGCCGGGCTCTGCCCTCCCCCCTCTCGGTGTCGGTAGAGTCATGAGAGGAAAAAAAAGGCACAAAAACGCAGATGGTATTTGGCAGGGGGAGGAGGCACCATGGGGGGGAGTGTGTGTGCGCGACATGGGGCACGGGCGCACCGGCACCGGCACACTCACCCATGGACACAAGAGCCCGGGTGACGGGGCGAGGGAGCGACGGGGCGCGGCAGGGGGGGAGGGGGCCCGCGAGTCACCTTACTCGGTGCCGTACTTCTGGACCAGGGAGTCGACGGTGTCGACGTAGGTCTGCATGGCGGTGTCCTTGTCGGTGCCCTTGAGGGCGTTCCAGGCGTTCCACTTGGCGCGGCCCGACACGTCAAAGAGACCGGGGCAGGCTAACGCACACGGACGGGGGGTCAGCGAAAGGCCGGGCGAGTGAGGGGGATGGTGGGCTGCTGACTGCATGGAAGTGCGCGAGCGCGTACCGGTGTCGACATCGCCGACGGTGCTCTGCTTGTAGTTGGCGTAGATGGTCAGGAGCTCATCGTTGGAGGGGCGAGACTTCAGCTTCTTGACGAGGGCCTCGGCGGTGGCGAACTTGTCGGCCTGTTGGGGGGGGGGGGGGGGGGG